ATATCCTCTTAAAATTGCATTCCTTTAGTTTCTCAGGTACTTGAGTTATCAATTTACATGAAAAAACTTTGGCGGGCCCGTATTTGGGTACCACGCTTACCCGGGGGCTGGGTTTGAGCGCACTAATACCCACTTGGGCGGGGAACATTCCCCCAAGATTTCAGCCTCCTAGCTTCCGGGACCTCCGAGTTATGAAATTGAGCGGGAAAAGTTTTGGGGGGCCCGTACGCGGGTACCACGTTTGCCCGGGGGCTGGATTTAAGATCACTAATAGCAGACAGACAAACAGACAAACACAGACACACACACAGACACACAGACACACACATACAGACAACCTCTTGTCAATATGCGTTTTCTGCATTGCATAGCTGCAAAAAACGCATAAAAACTTACACCCACATAAGCGAAAATAATATACATCCAGATTTCTGTACTCAACGGCTGCATGAACGAAAACACCGAGAATTCCTGCTTGTCTGGTTTCTTGATCATGATACTGATACCAGTAGTCATAAATGGTTTCGAAAAATCAACTACCCGTTCTCGATCCTTAAAAACGTAGAGCCTTGGTTACCACAACGACCCGCAACCTTTGCGTCCTTGGTGGCAGACCAGCAACATCCAAAACGGCTGCTACCTGATTAATCGTAAGTGATGCAACGCAGACATCTGCTTCACCACTGAGCAGGGAACCAATTAGTCCATCCCAAGAACCATCAGACTGCTTTATACCATATTTATTTCCTTTAGCAAGGATTATTTCGTATCTTTTGAAGTCTTCTATCCTAGAATTACTAATGTTTGCTATTTTCATTGAAAATCGCTTATCTGATCAGTATCGAGAATATCTAAACTGCATTGGCATTCATTTCAGTAATGTTGCTGAAATGCTTCCACGTACCAGATGCAGTACGATGCTAGTGTTTATTTCGCATTTCTGGACAAACAGTTTGTTCCCTAAGCAACGGAGGAAGGGTCGCTGAGCAGTAACTACGTCATTTTGCGATAGAGCTCAACAATTTTACAGAGCAACGTAATATGAGCAGTATAGTGTATTAACAGTTTTAAGGAAACCCTATATCTGTTGGTATTTTGATCAGTTGCGGTCCTTACCATAATTCTCTAGTCTAGCAAATTTTGCTTTTACCAATGCTGTATCTTCTGGTGGAAAGCCTTCCTGCAACCCTGATATTCACTCTGCCACCTGAAAAAATTACCATCACAGCAGTCCCCTTTTCTCAGAAATACAACAAGGTTTTAGGTACTTCGAGATGTCATTGGTATGTATGTTGCCACTCCTAGACGATGACGAGGTGTTTTGCTGGTTGGGGAGAATACTGTTATTCAAAATTTGGTGAGGACGGACGAATTTTTCCGGGGTTTTTGAACAGAAATAAAGGTGACTTGTCACTGAGAAGTTTAAGCAGGTCGATGCAGAATCCTTCGAAGCGATCGTTCCCCTGGCAGCCAGTTTTGTTCTCGTTCCCTTCGCAGTCTCGCTTTATCATCACAAATGGAGCTGTCTGGAATCAACTCAAGTAATTACCACGCCAGTGCTGCTTAAGTTTGCTGGCCAGATAGAGGCTGTTTTGCAAAAAGAAGCTGCAAGCTGTACAAAAATTTGATTCATGTTTGTAATAAAATATGGGACAACTGGGACAGTTTCTTTCCTTTTCTTTGGATTCATTCGTTGCCACACCATCAAATGAAATAGTTGGAATGGCCGACGGGTGTGGTCGAGAGGGGGGGCAGGATTGAGAGCTGGGAAGGAAAAGGTGATAAGTGGTTGCTTTCCAGTGGTCTGAGTGTACCAGATGCGCAAGGAATTATAGGCTCGACATGTGTTGATCCCTATATCCACGCAGAGTTTGCCTATGTTCTATACAGCAAGTGGTAACTGACATAGGCAGCCTGAAGTTAAACGGGCAAAGGTATTTAAGACGGTTCAACGAAAAGAAGGAATTCAGGAAAAAAATCTTATTTACAAAATGAAGACCCTGGCTGGAACGCACCAGGCTCCTCGGTGCGATCATGCGTTTTTGCACTAAACTCGCAGACTGTTATTAGCAGGAATGATCCCTACGCTGTAGTCTAACACCTGGGCTAATATTGGCCGTGCTTTGATTCTTACCAGCACGCAGGAGGAAGGACATCAG